ACGTACTAAAAGCGCAAATTTTAAAGCAGTTATGTTCATTTTTAAAATCGATTCCTTTTTTCCCCGTTTAAATTTTGCTGGACTCCTTTTTAATGGTTAAATAAAATTTTATTAATCAAAAAGCGTGTCTAATAATTAATTAAAATCATGAAACTTAAACAATTTAACATCAATTTATTACAAGTTTAACAAAAATTACATGTTTAGGGCCCTATGAAATGTTTTATTTTTTCCAAACTTGTTTTATTTTTACCAAATTCTGATTTAGCATGTCTAATTATTTGAAAGCATAAAAACAAAAAATCTGTTTCATTTGATTTTTTGCTCAGAAATTCTGTGTTGTGTATTTACATTTTTTAAGGCATAAAATATTCATTTAATCTATCTTTTAAGTAATGAAAATTAAACAAATTTAATTTTTTTGGAAAATAAAGGTAATTTAATATTACAATTAAAACATTGAAGAAATATTGTATGATTATTCCTTAAAAATAAGGTTTTAATAATTTTAGTAGTAGTAGTAGTAGCAGCCTATTACGTACATTCTACTGAACAATAGTCATATATTTCTGCCGCAATGCCTTTAAGTTAAACCGAACTTTGATTTTGACAGGTTGCCGTGAATACCTTTACATTTCTGTGTGACATGAGGATAGTTTTACTCAAATGAAGCGGTCAAATGCTCATGAAGTGACTCTCAGAGCAGTTCTGGAGATGTTGTTCATGTATTTATGTCCTCATTTAGTGAGACGGCAGACATTAATATCAGCGGAAGCGTCACGCGCGCTTCACTAAAAGTAGTAAACAAAACCGCGCGTCTGCACCATTTATTAACACAGAGACACGCAGAATTCATATTTAAATAGTGGCGGAACTCCGCTGTGCGCGATGCAGAGAGCGCGACCATGTAACGTAGAGACAGAAATGACATGCTGTCGTGTAAATAAGATAAATAACATAAGGCTATTTAGTTGTTTAATAAAAGAACAAGGTATAGACCTGTTCTATCGGAAAGGTAACTTTAATTGTTGTGATCTGGCGCTATAGAGAAAATATAATTAAATAAAATTAATTTGACCTTCAAGGGGGGCGGGGGGTGACGTTGGGTGGGGCGGGCCGCCCCCCTAATATAATGGCAGGGGAAACACTGACAAAAAGTATTATAATGATTGCTTTTATATTATTAGTAATAGAAAGGCAAACATTATAATGCATTCTCGTTTACCTTTAGCATTCAGCAAATATGCATTTATATCGTTTAAACAAATCTTTGAATGTCTAATAAACATTTAATTTCACAAACCTTGCAGACTTAGTCAAATCCAGCTGTGAGGTCTTGTGAAGTGTGCATTTGTATCCTGCATGATCGCGTGTACTCTGCGTGACAGTTAGTCTGTGCGAATTGAATGCAGACAGGAGGAGAGTTTGGCTTCACTTGTGATTTCAAGCTATGCCCACTGTCATTTGCCCACATATTCATGTCATTTTGTTTCGTTTTTTTTTAAACTTTTTTCAGGATTATTTGTTGAATGAAGTTAAAAAGAACAGAAATAGAAATCTTTTCTAACAATATAAGTCTTTATTATCACTTTTTTTTATCAATTTAACACATCCTTGCTGAATAAAAGCATTCATTTCTTTAAAAAAAAAAAGAAGAAAAAAATTACTGACCCCAAACTTTTGAACAGTAGTGTATATACTATTTTGAATAAATGCTGTTCTTTTAAAAATTTTATTCTTCAAAGAATCCTGAAAAATATATCACAGGTTCCAAACAACTATTAAGCAGCACAACAGTTTCCAGCACTGATAATAAATCAGCATATTACAATGATTTCTGAAGGATCATGTGACACTGAAGACTTGAGTAATGATGCTGAAAATTCAGCTTTGATAACAGGAATAAATTATATTTTAAAGTATTAAAACCATTATTTTAAATCGTAGTAATATTTCACAATATTACTATATGTATTTATGATCAAATAAATGCAGCCATGATGAGCAGAAGAGCCAACTTCAAAAAACATAACGAATCTTACTGATCCCAAACTTTTGAACAGCAGTGTTCATTTTACACATTAATTTTTTTTTATTCATTTTCATATTATTTGAAATTTCTTAAATACTTTTTATATATATTTTTTGTTTTTTTAATATAGCTAGATAGATAGGCAGACAAAATATAATATTTTATATCTAAAAAATATAATACTACTATAAAATATATGAATAACATTTCTATGTAAATTTATTTTAAAATATTTGTATTTGATGTTTTAAAATATATAAATATAAAAGCAGTACATATACATGTTTTTTTTTTTTGACAATAATAAAATTTACCATTTAAAGGTTATTGGCCATAACGTGACTAATTACTGTATCGAACCAAATTTTCATACCAGTGTATCTCTAGAAGTAATGGAAGTTTGTTTATTTGCTAGTGAATTCACCCAGGCCATGTGTTCTTCTCAAGTGTGAAAAATTCCATCATATCACTCTCATCAGTGTGATGTCTTTGGCACCTTGAGGAGTGTCAGGCTCTCTTGTCTGCTTTTACAGAGCTGCATTTATGGGGCATGTCTTTTCTGCGCCTCATTGCGGCACCCGCTGATGGAGGTCTGGCATTGCCACAGAAGCGGGTCAGATTAGGGGGGCATGACTCATTGTCCTGCCCTGATCTATAAGAGATCAGACTCATCTATGACTCATAATCCTGTTAGTCATCACGTTATTGCCACTGATATGTCACTCTGGGGGTCGGCGTCCTCACACGCATCATAGCCAAGGACAACAGGGCTATTTGTGTCTCATTTTAATCAAGAAATAAAGTTGGAAGTCGGAGTGATGAATTTATTTGAAGTTTGGAATACAATCCCTATTCCTGTTTTAATTCATCCACTGGCTGTGCCAAGTGGGTCGAAATAGTTGGCAGAAAGTCGCTTTACCCCAAATCACTATTTTCAGTCTTGTTCTGTTCCATTTACTGGGGTATGTGGAAGGAGTACCTTCCCGTTTAGGTTACCTGAAAATGTTTATGACATGAACAAGCAAATATTTTTTCCATTCTTAGCCGCCATGCTTATAAAGCAGCCTTCTTGTTTGCGGAAGCGAGTCTACGTTCCCGGTCTTTTCCAGAGAACAGCTCTGATATTCGAGGAAAGCCCTCTCTGAAAAGGGCCTGAAAGCTCTTCAGCAGGCTCAGTGAGAGCGTGCAGCCGAGCCCCCCACATCTATTTTTAGTTGCCTTCCTCTCCCACAGCGGTCGTGGTGTTTGCAGTGTGTGGTGTTGGGACAGAGGCCCACATGGGAATCATAATGATACAGTGTCTTCATCTCCCTCCACATGTTCAGATAGGGATTGTTTAAACAGTATCCTGAGCTGGGAACGGGTCCCATGACAACTCCACAAATATTTACCAGCCACACACTGCAAGAGGGTTTTTTGTCTGCAGGCTACCTTTCCGTGTTTTTCTTTCACTTGCTCTTGATTGTTGTTGTCTCTTTGTTTTGTTATTTGCTTATATAAGGAGAACTTCAACTTAGGCAAAAGAAACGTACGGAGCCATGAAAGCGCATCTCCTTTCATCCTGCCAGTTTCTGGATGAAGAGTATAAGACTTCTCTGGATCATTAAGAGCAAATGTGTGAGGAATGCAGCTTTAGTGCTTAGGTTCACGTCAGGTCTTGACAGCGCTCTGATGCAAAGCACTAACTTTAGCATTTCTGCTTTATGTCCTAAAATTCATTCAGATGATGAGTGTTTACCTCCATCATTGATTATAAATGGGTCAGCCTCAAGGGAGGCTTTAAAAAAGATAATCAGATGAGATACGGAAACAAATATTACGAAATATGAAGTCAAACACTGTGTAAATCACTCATTTTTCCTACGGTAATACTGTCCCACAGCGACACCAGCAGATGACATTTCAGGCGGAGGTAGCACTTAAATTAATAGGGCACCTCTATACGTGTGACCATAATGATAGCTGTGTATATCATGGATTTGCTGATTTAATGGTCCAAAAAGGTGAATAATAAATAAATAAAAGCTGCACAAAATGTACCTTTTTTGTACTATAGTAGTTTTTATTTGTATTTGAAGCCATGTAAAAAATGTTTAAAAGGCATCAGTTTGGTCAGACTCTGTGACTTGTGGTATGTGGTAACACTATGGTGCTTTTGGTGATTTAGTTGGAGCCATGTCTTTTGTTTAATTGATTTGTATTTCACTTAGAAAAATAGGTTACGGAGCATTTTCCAAATATGATAACTATAACTGTATTTTACACATGGTACACTACCGTTCAAAAGTTTGGGGTTGTTAAGATTTTTTATTTTCTAAGGTTTTTGAAAGGAGTCTCTTATGCTCAACAAGGCAGTAAAAATACAGCTAAAACAGTAACATTGTGAAATAATACAATTTAAAATAACTGTTTTCTATTTTATTTTAACACATTATTTACTCCTGTGATGCAAAGCTGAATTTTCAGCATCATTACTTCAGTGTCACATGATCCTTCAGAAATCATTTAAATATGCTGATTTGTTTCTCAAGAAACATGTCTTACTAATGTTGAAGAGTTGTGCTGCTTCATATATTTTTTTAGAAACCTTGATACATTTTCCAGGACTTTGATGAATGGAAAGATCAAAAGAGTAGCATTAATGTTTTCTTTTGATCAATGTAATGCATCCTTGCTGAATTTATTTCTTTAAAAAATTTACCAACTCCAAACTCTTGAACGGTAGTGTAAATATACACACTATAATGTAAATATATTGTCCAATTTCTTCTGAATGACTTTAGAGTTGTTCTTCGATTCTTCAGAGTATTAATGGCCAGGATATGTAGAGTTCATCATTGCATGCCATGTACATTTTGATGTAAATTCATGGTTTATGAATGAAAGTTGCCACATTTGAAATGCATGTCTTCTCTGCTCATAGATGATGGGAAGATCTTCCATGGAAGTGGAGTAGGAGACCAGTTTGGCCCTCGCTGTTTTGAAGGGGACATCATGGGCTGTGGAATTATGTTTCCTCGGGACTACGTGCTGGACTATGAAGGTAAGAACACGCATGTGGTGCTCATTAAAGGAGATGAGAAGAAGTTTTCCATTTTGCTCATATTACTGCCAATACATGCTTTAGCATGCTGTAGTACAAGTTTTTTAGATGTGCATCCAGCTCAATTGGTTTCTCTGTCAGATGAAATGGACGACTGGGATGCTGCTGATGTACGACCAAAGCAGGGGCGTGTTGAAAACTTGCTGTATTTGAATGATGAAGATGAGGAAGAGGGAGATGATCCAGAACAAGAACATGAGGGCCGAAAGGTTATGGTGAGTATTTTTGTAATATTTTTGTTATATAAAAAAATGTTGCTTATAGTAATGGCTGATATAGCTTTAAAGGAACACTCTACTATTTTTGAAAATAGGCTCATTTTCCAACTCCCCTAGAGTTAAACAGTTGAGTTTTACCGTTTTCGAATCCATTCAGCCGATCTCCGGGTCTGGCGGTAGCACTTTTAGCTTAGCTTAGCATAGATCATTGAATCTGATTAGACCGTTAGCATCTCGCTCAAAAATGACCAAAGAGTTTAGATATTTTTCCTATTTAAAACTTGACTCTTCTGTAGTTACATCGTGTACTAAGACTGACGGAAAATGAAAAGTTGCGATTTTCTAGGCCAATATGGCTAGGAACTATACTCTCATTCCGGCGTAATAATCAAGGAACTTTTCTGCAGTACCATGGGTGCAGCAGGCGCAATGATATTACGCAGCACCTGAAAATAGGCTTATTGGAAGTTACCTAGCTGGGGACTATTTTCAGGCGCACCCATGGTACGGCAGCAAAGTTCCTTGATTATTACGTTGGAATGAGAGTATAATGCAGACCCGGAGATCGGCTGAATGGATTCGAAAATGGTAAAATTCAACTGTTTAACTCTAGGGGAGTTGGAAAATGAGCCTATTTTCAAAAATAGTGGAGTGTTCCTTTAACATAACATAACAGGATTAAATTACGTTTGCAAATGTATTAAAATAGAAACCGTTATTTGAAAATGTAATGTCTCTTGCATTTCTTGCCTTCTAACTTAATGACTTTTTTTAAGCCACAAAATAAATTGTTACTTATTACCGAAGAGCTCAAAGCCTCAGTTTTGACAGCTAAGCAAATGAATCATCATTATTTTTGTTGCAAGTTGTTTTTAAAGCCGGTTGGAGTTGTTCTAACACTCATTCATCAAGTCAAATGTTTTAACCTGGCAGAAGATTAATGCATTAAGGTCTCCCAGCAGGACATTACACTATCAAGAGCACTCCATGCCAAATTTGCACTGTGTGACTCTGTAATCAGCGAGTTTCTGATTGTTGACTTGACACGATGGCTTAACCACAGTGCTGTTACGTTTTGCCCACTGGGTGAGAGTTTCCACACTTATGCAACAATACAAACTCTCTCATAAGAGCCATCTTTTGAGGGTACAGGATATCCAGGATGCGATTAAGATGAATTTGCTTGCAAATATTTCAGTCAGTCGCCTGGAAAGGCTTATTAGATATAAAAGAACACCGAATACCCTCTATGCTCAAAAAACAGCTGTTTGCCAAGTGTTTTCTTGTCCTCATCATGTGTCCTGAAGTATCAAGAGTTTTCCTACACTAGCGTGTAGCAGGACTGTCAGACGCCCTGTCTCAGCCCTGTAGCAATGGAAATGCTGACTCACTCTCTTCCCTCTCCAGCTGTGGAAATGCTGACTCACTGTCGCCCCTCTGTGCTCGTCTAGGTGTTCTTCACCCGGAACGGCAAGATTATCGGCAGGAGGGAAGTAGTTGTCCCAGCCGGAGGGTTTTACCCCACTATCGGGATGCTCAGCAGCAGAGAAAAGGTGAAGGTGGACCTCCATCCCCTCAGCGGATAATAAACGAGGAACTCCACGTCTCCAATCCCGCCGTCAGCCACAAACGGATGGAAAAGACCAAAAAAATGATGCTGAGATTTCTGTTCTCTTTCTTATGTTTCAAGGCACTTCAAAATGCAAGTTTAGCACGTCTAACATGTTCACTCCAATGCATGTTTCGTCTACAGCGTTTGTCTCGGCAGCGCCTCAGAGGGGTTTGTGGCATGAAATGATTAATATTGGGCCTCAAAAGAACGGTTTAACTGGTGACCGAAATAATACTGATACATTTTATTGCAAATGCGTAGAAAATATGAAATTATATATTTTTAATGTACATGTACATATGTAAATTTATGTATTGGCTGCTATACAAACATTTATTTAGCGAAATCAATCATGAATATTAATAAACAGCTGGACACCCTAAAGAAAGTTAAAGATATAATAATTAATAATAATAATAATTCATTACATTTATATAGCGCTTTTCTAGGCACTCAAAGCGCTTTACATTGTCAGGGGGTATCTCCTCATCCACCACCAGTGTGCAGCATCCACCTGGATGATGGCATGAGGATGCTGATAATTATTAATAAAATTAAGTATAAAAGGTGTAATGTTAAAAACAACTTCACAGTTTTCCACAAGCACTCCCTCTCACAAAGGACTTGTGAAGGTGATGAAAGCATATTATGGTTATTTTTCTTATTGTGATTCATTTTGAATCATATTTAATCAAGTGCCATTTTTCACTATTGTTTTTGTCTGAAAATGAACGGTTGAGGGGAAGGTGTTTTGCCGGTAAATAGCATGAAGTAATTGCTAATTGTGATGTCAGCGGAGGCGAGTTGTATTGTCTCCTGTTGTGTATCATACACTCTCATCCGTCATCAGGAAACGCGATTCAGCATCTCCAGACCAGAGAGAGCAAGACCGGAAAAGAACACACTGAATCGGCTACTTCATGTTTACTTGTCAGTGAATGCATCTTAAACCAGTTATGTTTATTTAGTTCAGGCTTTTCTGTAAATGTAGATTTTTACATCAGTCCGTGGATGTTTTATCAGATATTTCAGGGCAGACGGCACATTGGAGTCAAGTCAGAAAACATGGAGCTGTTTATTCAGGAATTGTCCACTGTAATGTGAGCTAGTCTGGTTCACAAATGCCACGAGCACTTTAGAAACGCCTCAACTTATGCTGATAGTCTGATGGGCGAGCAGCTGTGATGCTGCGCTCTAGACTTCTCACACCTCGCTGTTGCAATAATGACCTTCCTCTTCTGTTACATATCACATATGGAACAAAATGGTTTCATATTACATACATTGCCAAATTTAATGTCTGATTTGATCCCTCTCGTTATAGTTTCACCTTCAACATGTCTTATAAACAAAGTGTTGGATATAACATTTTTCTCTATATTGCCCTCATTTAGGTCCCTCAGTTTCTGAAGTTGCATTCTACAGTTTACTGGTTGAATGTCAGGACATTTGGTTATGTTTGGAATTGGATACTTGCATACTGCACAATGTATACTGTGTCTACAATTTTTTTTAAAGAATATGAGAAACTTGTAATTTTGACTTTTTAGCTCACAATCTCTTTTTTAGAATTACGAGACAAAGTAAGAATTGTGCGATAAAAAGTGACTATCTTTTAAATTTTTAATTCCATGTCAAAAGCAAAAAAAAAAAAATGTGAAAGTCAGAATTCTGTGTGGGGAAAAAAATGTGAGATGTAAATTTGGAATTGAGAAAAAGTCAGTGTTCTGAGTTTATATCTTGCAATTCTGTATTTTTTTTCCTCAGAATTACAAGAAAAAATTCACAATGGCCTTTTTTTGATCTCTTAGCAGATTCAAGCTTCCATACAAAATGCAAAGATAACATTGTTGTCACATGACCTCGCCACATCATTTTTTATGCAGTGAGAGGAATTCAATTGTCGTATGCATTTTTCTTGCACAAAATTGGATTCGAATGTTAACTTGTTTTAAAATGGCAGTGTGATCATATAAAGCGAGTTCATGCAATGCATTGTGGGACACAGTACCCAGTGCAGTATGCACATTTTGCTATTTTATGAGTATTCTATGCATAAATGTTAATGCTATGCACAGTCTACAAGAGTAGTATGCTATTCTGAATATAGCCATAGTAATATTTGACAGGACGCATTGGATTTCAAAGCACCTCAATCATTGAATAATGAACTTTGATTTAATTTAAAAGTTCTTCAGTGATTTATAACACCCTGCATGTTTATCATTTTCTGCTACTATTTTTTACATAAGATACATTAAATGAGAATTGATGAGAAAAATTGTCAGAGGAATGGGTGTCACTGTCACCATCTTCTAAAGCCTTTCCATTTAGTGGTGAAATGAATATTCCAGATCAGATCATTTAACATAAAGAATTGCTTGTGTTCCAAGACATAAATTGACAGCACAGGGAAGCCAAACCCAAATACCTCTATCAGTTAAGATTATGCAAAAAGCCAAGCAGTTGTCCTCGCCAAGATCATCTGAATTCCTCCACAGGAATGTGGTTGCTTGGCGCATAAATGGGTGATGGTCGTTTTGCTTTCACACAGTCTTACTAAATGGAGACTTGCATTGCAGATGTTGATGTGTTGCTCTAATTGTAGCATGCACTCTTGCTAATGTGTACATAATAAAGAAACATTATTTCCACACAAACTGTGCTTGGGATTGCAGTGAAATTCCTTTTCATACATTTTAAACCTCCAGGCATTCTATTTTTAATAAACATTAACCCTTTGAATCCTGACTGTTACATGAGTGACTGAAATTAGGTTTGTAGTTTGAAGGGTATAAAAAAAGTTGATGTATTTTTTTTGTATATGACCAGAGCCATTTAATTTAGGTTTTCCCCACTGATAATGTCCGTTTCAAAGCTCAAAATACAGCTACAGCTACCATATTTCATACAGATAATGTTTAAATTGTCTTGTTATGGTCAAGTGAGATTGCTCTGGCTTATGATAATGGGACACAGAAAAATTCAAGTTGTCATTGAGACTAGTGGGAAGACACTATTTTTGAATAGGTTATAGTCTCATTATAAAACTGCAGATTTCAAAGTGTTGCATTAAAAGAAACCAAATTAATGACAAATTATCACACATTCATACCCAAACAATTGCATGTTAGTGATTGTTGTATATCAATCTCTTCAGATAGTAATTTATTTTATATGTTTGTTTCCTGTTCACGTAGCTGGGTAAAAAATTTTTATTAAAAGTATCTCTGTAGAAAAACAATATTCTCTCTCTAGATTTTGTAGCAGTAAATTTATTTGAACCAAAAGTATTCCAAGATATTTGGTCCCATGATAAAAAAAAAGTGACATTTAAAATAGTTAAATACAATTTTGTAATAAAATAAAACATTCAAAGGTTGCCAATTATATCATATGTGGTACAGCCGGAGTGTTTAACATTTAAAGTACATCCAAGTGCATTACAGTAGTGATAGACCAAAAAAAAAACAAGACGGGTGCTTGAACTGAACATACCAAGGACTGGCCTAATAATCAAATTTAAATTCTTAAAGCAATAGCAACATTTTTTTAATCTCTCTTTTTAATTGTATTCTGCAGCACAATAAAATAATCCTGCCTATTAGTATATAAAAAACCTAGAAAATGTACCGAATTAATTAAAATTTCATTAAACTAGGCCTGGAGATACGGTAAGAGCTCTAGCGTGTCATCTAGACTAGAGAAACCTTCTGAACAACCTGACAACTACTTGGTTTTTAGTTCATTTACATTTATAGGCACATGTAAAAGCTGAAAACATGAAAAAACTGCACAAAAGACAAACAGAGACCCACAAACGAAAATACGCTGGTGCTTCTGGGAAATGAAAGTCCATGGGCATCTAATCTATCACTCAGACCGCATCTTCCTCGTCCTCATCGTCATAATGACGGTTCCTCTTAATGAGGTCCTCCACGGTGACATCAGCTCTCTCTTCCTCAGCTTCTTCTCCATCCCAAAAGCCCACATCTTGTGAGGCCTGGTTCTCCTCAGGATCCAACCCAGACTCGCTCTCGAGAGACGATGAAGGACTGTTGTCTGGTGAGCTGCACTGCAGAGAGGAAAGTTCCTCTTCTTGTGCTTCCACTTTCTCCTCTTGTTCCATCTTTTCTTCATCGTCGTCCTCCTTGGTTTCCGTTTCACCCTGTTCCTCCTCTTCTGAATGCTTGTGTTCGGTCATGTCCTCTGAAGAGATCACCGTGTCAGTGGTGGAAGAAATGGGTGTCATTTCCTCCTCCGAGCTTGGCTTCTCATTTGAAGGAGATCTTTGGCATCTCTTGCTGGGTTGGGTGACCGGTGCGGAGCTGAAGATGGAAAACGGCTTGCTTCTCTCCTTGAGTGAGACACTCCTGCGAATCTTTGGGAGATCAGATTGGTCGGAGTTGCTTGATACCGTGTCGCCCGCTGGAGGCCATTTCGGGCGGATGGGTTTGATGTCAATGTCGTCGGTAGATCCACACACATGGGTTGCGCTCTCGTCCCCTTCGGACTGCGGCGGCCAGGAGATCTTGAGTCGTCCCGTCTCCAGTGGCTTCTCCACCCTCCGAGAAGTGTCCTGGGTTCGGGTCTCTAAAGTGGCCGCAAGCATATTAACTTTTACCAGAGACTGCTCTACGGTTGGGCTGGAGGTGGTTTCTTGAGGAGACAGCTTCTCTTGCTCCTCGGCTCCTTCTCCTCGCACCTCCCAAAGCTCTTTGTGGGGTCGGTGGCCGAATCCCTCATCATAGTTGCCCTTGGCTTTAAACAGCTGGCAGAAGTGCGGCTTGCAGTAGACATTGTTGTGCAAAGAGGCGTAGTTCACCAGACTGGCCAAAAGAGGGCGGCAAAACAGTGGAGATTAGAAACATCTCAAATTAAACATCATTAAATACTCACACAAGTACGGTCCTAAATGGCACCCTCTAGACCTTTTTATTGACCAAAATGTTATTTTATTTTGTCAAGAATAACGCAGACAAGGCGAAAAATGGTTCATCACGACGATGAATTAAACGATTTTAATAATAAAAAAGTTGATAGTATGAAAAAATGACAGACCAGCTGGAACAACCAGCTAAAACCAGCTTGTCTAGCCAGGCTGGGAGACTGCTAAAACCAGCTTATTCCAGCTTAAACCAGCTAAAACCAGTCAACCAGCTTAGGCACATGACGTGCACTAACTTTTCCAACTTTTTTTTTTTTTCTTATGAAGATAAAATTCTATACAGAATGGCTAAATTCAAAAACCAAACCCCTTTTTTATTCTCGCACTAACCGTGAATCATCTGTGTAACCATAGTAAATGCTGAAGAATCAATAAATATTAAATTGTTTGTTTAAATCTATCACAGCTGACACGATTTCAATCGGGGCGCGAGTTCATGATCAGTC